TACCCATTTTATGGATGATCAGCCTGAGGTTCAAACTGTTAAGAGTCACTCTCTTAATTCTTATTTGAATCAACTTGTGAAACTGGAGCTCCTCAGTCTATACAAGATAGTTTCAACACCTCCAGAGAAGCCAAAGAAATGTGACTAAATTAGAAACACGGATGTGGAGGAAAATATGGGCTAGTGCTTCTTACAATGTGATTTGCTTCCTGTGTCCAGGGTTAAGGTCATTGTGATCTTTCTGAGCTAGACTCTTTATTCTTTCAACCCACTTACCCACTATGTGACCAGCTCTGTGCCAGACACGGGATACCAAAGTGGTGGGGTGGGAAAGGACAGTACCTTGGCTTCAGAGAGCTCACACTCTGGAAGCGCCAAGCATATGGGATTTCCCCCCACTTGCTATGCTGGCAGCTGACCAGGAGTAAGGATGCCTGGCCTCTATCTTGACTCGGGAAAGGACGGCGGGGCTTCAAGGTCACTTCCTAAAAGGCAACACAGACTAGTCCAGTGCCTCTGGAGTAAGGATGCTGTTCTGGTCTATTCGTGACCTCTCTGCCTGTCGAGCACGGGAGCTGCAGAAGTCCCTGGCTGTCTTGTTCAGCCGGGTTTAAATGCCTCCGAATGTGGGAGAATGATGCCATCTCGTGGACAAGACAGAGCAGGGCCACAAACCCACGTCCTGTGCAGACAGGACAGAGATACCTCTCTTCAGGGCACTTCATAGGAGACTGACTTTCCGTGGCTACAGCTGTTGACCATTTGTTACCTACGAATATTACAAGATTTATTCCTTTTAACCCATCTCCTGATATTTTGATAGACCAAGACACGACACCAGTGTAAGCTGATTCATACTAACTTTAAAAAATCAAAGTTTGGGATGATTTTAATTCTCCCCAAAGGCAGAAGAATGAATCAAATTATTTTTCGAGAACATTCTAGTTGTCATAACTCTAGAATTATGATACGCACAGAAAGTATGTTTAAGATACTATAAACTTGAAGAATGAAAAAGTGCGTTGTGACCTTAAGATAATACTTCCTGACATCTCAATGGAGTACAGTGTGTGCGCCTCAGTGGAGACGGTAGGATTTGTGGTGGTGATAACTTTTTTATCTCACTGCAAACTTAAGCATAAAAAGCCCAGGGCATCTTGCCTTTCTATTCTGTCCTGTATCTAGCTGTGCAGAGGGGCTCAGTTATCATGATAAGTCAGTTTCATACAAGAGGGGCACAAGAGATGATTTTCTTCCCTATCAAAACCTATTATGTAACTTTTCAGAACTTTTGGAGGTCTTAAAAGACAATAAGAATGTTTGATTCCTCTTAGCTTAAGGCTGCAGTATGATTTCAATACCAGTCACTTTCCCTGCATTGAGATGAGCAGATTTTAATTCTGACAGAGTCCTAGGTGCTATAACAATTGGTACAGAGGCTTCTGCTGAAAAGTACCTGAAAGGATGTTTACGCCACACTAGGGGAAAAAAAAAAAATGACCCTTTCTTTTGTCCATGATACTTCACCATTGAAAGTAGAGGCCATGAGGCTATTTTTAACACTAAAGAATCCGAAATATCTAGTAGGCACCTTTGGAAAATGCTCTGGTGAAAGGGAGCTCATGGAAACTGTGTTGGTTTGTTTTACAGTTCAGTGGAACTCAGGATATTAAATGCTGTGAGTTTTTATGCACCACAGCCTGTGGGTTCCCAGAAGTGGGAATGCTGCTCTGCCTACTAAACTTCTGGGTGTCACTCAAACCTCCCCTTTGACCTAATACAACCACTGTTCATTGTTGATGCAGAATTTGTCCCGATGACCATTCCACTGCTGAGGCCTGCTGCTTTCTTCCACTGCTATCTCAAATCCATGATTCCTCCACTGAATATTTGTCACCATCTTTGCTCCTTTCCTGTTCCCCTCCAAGAGTGACCATGGACTAGCTTTTAAGACTTGAGTAGGAACAGGAGCCCAGGGAGGCGGGACATCAGTATGGAGCTGCTGATGTCCTCTGATGGGGCTTTAACACATCACCCCCAGAGGGTGGAGCCTCTTAGTCCTCAGAGGCAGATATGGGCTTTCCTTCCTGTTTGGTTTCCTCAAGGCACGTAATTTTACACCGTTTACTCTTGTTACCCTGGTGTTCTGATAAACTGTCTTGCTACAGCTCCTTCACATTTCCTTTCATCATTTTCCTTTTCTTTCTTTCAGGGGGTACACAGTATGATCAAAATCACCTTATCCTCAACACTGTCAGCAAAGAGAAGCTAACACAAGTGTGGGAAGCCACGGTCCTGTAGACCCGAACAAAGAACACAGGAAGAATATTTCTGGAGGTCTTCCAGAGCTACCGTACTTAGAAAGAAAAAAAGGCCTGCTGCTGGAAGCGCTAAGAAGAGAGTAGACCTGCTCCTTCAGCAGCTCTGAAGTCCTCTTGAATCACGTTCCCGTGACCAGGACAACTTCTCATGTTATCAAAAGACTGTGATCATTTAAAACCATCATCTGTCCTCTTGTTTCTTCCCTCTCCTTTCAGGAGCTGCTTAAACAGGGTGCCTCCTGAGCAGCTTTAGGGTGCTTTCTGGAAAAAGTTATACTCAGACCTTAAGAGACGATGTACGTTTTAAATTATTTCCAAAGATAGAGAACAGGAACAAACTTACCGATCTTGAAGGCCTACAAGTCCTGTACATTTTAAAGCGAAGGACAGAAGCTCAAGTTTGTAAGGTAGGAGGACGCTTCAGCATCTGAGAAGAAATCATTTATTAGGCCTGTAATTTTGGTCCCTGACCCTCTGTTTTCTGGACTCATTAATTATGCTGTAAAGTGGGGAAAACCTTAGCTGTTCAGACCTATTTTAAGGAACTAAATATAAACCAAGTATGTTTCTGTTAATATTAAAAATTAGCACATTTACAAAGATATCATGTCCACGTCCAGTAACGTTTATTAGCAGGATCTGCATTATTCCCACTCACCTGTGGGCCACTCTAGACTGCCACATGTGAGCGCTGGTACTTTTCCTGTGTATCTACTGAAACAGTATGATCATGACCTAATCTATTAGCCCATCCTCACTGGCCTACAGCTAGTTCTGCAGTGTTAAGCAGGCCTTTGCTCCACTCCGATCTTTTAGCCCGGTTTCCCCCCCTCCTAACCAGCTTCACTGGCACGAGGCCTGCACGGGAGGCCCCGGGACCCCACAGCTGCTCTGACCACTGGAGGCGGCCTCCCATCACTTACTTCAGGAAGCAGACACTTGAGATGTGGAAGGCTCAAGAGGATGCCAGCGGGTCTCTCCAGAAAGAAGGGAAGGAGGCTATAAGCAATACCTGTTGACTGAATCTTGGGACTGAGAACCCTAAAATTCAGCGAGCATTTCAGTGAAGACTGAAAATGCTGAGCCACTCACTGGCCAAGTTGTCCTCGTCACTGAATCCTGGTGCTCCTGTCCATCTATTCCAGTGTGTTCCCAGTGTAAAATGTTGATCCTCTGGGGTCTGTGGTGGGCAATGACGGTCATCAGTAGTTTTCCCGGCAGTGTTTAAGTCTGCTCACACGTGTCTGTCCTGTTCTCAGGGGCGCAGCGCTGGCCTTAGGCCTTTATGCACCTCACCGCCTACAGGACAGTGGGGGTAACGTCGTCTAGTGTGTGTTGAATTTCTCTCTCAAATAAACTTGTTTCTGGTGAACTGTATTGATAAAATCTGAATGGATCCATTCAGGAGCCCTCCGAACAGGGTCAGGGACAGATCAGAAGTAAATGTCTGATCATGACATGGCGGGCTTCAGAGCTGCTGGGTTAAGGACAGAGAGATTTCTGACTGCCCTCACTTCAGACTCGGGGGTAAAAGGGCACACGCCACTCTTCTGAGTGGAGATGCCACCTCACTACCACCTGGGAGCCCTCCAGGCAACAGGGCTGACGTTGTTCAGAGAAGTCAGAAGTGGCTTATTTACAGCTGGAAGAACCTCTTTCTCCTGAGGTGAATTTGTAATGTAATTCTAGAGAAGAGCCTTCATCCGACACACTACAAATGAGCGTCTAGCAGGAAGGCACCGAGGAGAAAGCCGCTCCCCCAGGTCTCTGTCGGAAGCTGAACGCTAGCGGCTGAGGAGCAGTGAGGAGGAGCAGCGGCAGAGTGGACACTTAACGCCAGTGTAGGGAGGACACAGACTAGAGACTCAACAACCGCAGCGGGCTTCCTGGGCAGGTCGGGGCGGAGAACTCTGCGCCCAGTGGAAGGGTCGTCACTTCCACAGAAGAGTTCCCAGAGAAGCATGTTTCCACTGCTGAAACAGGACTAGCTCTCTTATGTACAGAAGTAGGGCTTTAAGAAGTTAGAAACGCAAACATCTCCTTTCAAAGAGAGGAATGAACCAAATCACCGGCTAGATTCTTACATACGCCCCTGAGAGATTCAGAGCTCTGAGGGCTGTGAGGACCGCTCCAGAGCAGAGGAATAAAAACCGAAGGAAACCCTGGCCACTCTGAAAAGTGCTCCGTGATGAGTCTAGAAGCTTCATGCTACCACTCCTCCACACACTGGAGTTTTAACTCTCTCTCAGACACTAAGATGGTGAAACGGTTTGAGCTACTAGAACAGAGAGTGCAGCAACAGTTTGCCAATGTGCTGTGAAAGAAAACGATAGGCAATTTTCACTGACTTTACAGACAAGCCCACGTGCGGACATTTTCATATCGTGTCCTTACTTACCTGGGTGTCCCTCGCACTTGGCACAGACAGAGCTGGCAGACGGGCAGGCGACGGGAGAAAGCCCTGGGCAGCGCAAGGGGATGGCCGAGGGTGGCAGTGTGGCTATAAAGTCTCTGTGCCCGGCTCAGAAGATGGAAAATTACTGGCAAGAAGGGGTGTGTTTTTTACATTTATATCATGGAACTTGCAGTCTCATCTGGAAAGGGATGGCTGGAAAAAAGCTGGGGCCTGCGGGCACTCACCGAGTAAGAGAGCCAATAATCACCAAACTGAGCGTTTATTTAAACAACGTTAATGACGGTCTTTCCTCGTGCGTGTCCCCTTTCTACCTTCAGGAAGGCTTCTGGAACTTTAGAAAATGGAAAGGTTTTTTCAATAACTGGCTGAATCTGTAAAACACAAGAAAGGTTGACCGGTGGGTAAGAAAACCTGCATCGCTCACCATAGATACATGTGAACTTAAGTTTCTTGGGGTCGTCCGCCGGGCCGACCACTCTTGGGTCTGGGTGGTGCCCCCCAGTCAGGAGCTCACAGCGGGCCAGGCCACAACTGCACTGCTGCCCCCCACCCCGGCCTCTCCCCTGTTACTCTACCACGTGTCCGGCCTAGGTCTCACCCACGCCTGCCTGACCCATGGTCTGCAGCGTGTCCAGAGGACCCGTGTGGCCTCTTCACAGACCGCCTGCTAGAGCTGAACGCACATCTCAGCCACGCTGTCCTGTGTGGCCGACACCAAAGGAGGCATCCGAAGGTTCCCGCTGCGCAGGATAGGGATGGATTGTATAAAAGTTGTTAAATATTCGGCATGTCTACTTGACCAAAGCTGAGTGCATCGTGGTACGGGCCACCTCTTCTGTATCCCCCACAATACCCAGCACAAGGCTAGGCACAGAGCAGGAGCTCAGTTAGTGTCACTTAGGTGAAAACTAGTAGGATAACTGGGAAGTGAGTCTTCTGTGGGCCCATCTGTGGCTGGAGCTGCCCTGGGGGGCAGCTGCTTAGCTGAGCTGCAGAGCTGCTTAGGATTTACAGGAACGCCAGCTCGTAAAGGCTCGAATACTGCTGGCTCTGTGTGGTGTATCGTTAGCGCTCTCTCCTCATGCACCCATCTGACTGAACTCATCCTTTTAAAAACTTCAAGCAAAGATCAGTAACTATCCACTTGGCATCTCAGTGAACTAGCTCCCACTGCTCCACGGGCAGGAATCAGTTGTCAGAAGGCATGAGCTTACATCTTGCGACCCTTTTACAAGAGGAAGAAGCACATGCTCTTGCGGTGTTCAGGTGGGCCTTCCCTTTGTGTGAATTTCACAGCCCTGCCACCAGAGAGCATCTCAGACCCCAAAAGTTCCCTTCTCCAAAAAGCTGAAAGTTTGTACTTCTGAACCATGATAAGCTCATCACAGCAGTACCAGCACGGGCTGTCCTCACTACGTGCCAGGCACTCTAAGTGCTCTATGTATCTTACCTCATTTAATCCTGACAACCACCTCATGAGGTAGGTACTGTTGTTATTCCCTTTTTACAGATGGATATGTTAAGGCACAGAGTTAAATCACCAAGGTCACGTAACTGTTGAGTGGTAAGACAGGCTTTGAGCTAGTACCAGAGTGTCTACTCTCCCCACTATACACTAAACCTTCTGTACATCATCAGCTGCTTTCTATATCTACTCCTAAAATCTTAAGGGGAGAGAAAGGTAACTAAGGATTACCTGGATTCATCACAGCCTGCGTCTTGGCTGGCCTGCCAGCCATGTTAATGGACCTTGCCGGCTCAGGATCCAGGCTGTGTCCAGGTCACTGAGATAGCCCACGGGTGGTCCATAGGCCACCACTCCCACTGCACCTATGGAGGACACCACGGGTTTATAACTGTGGCCCTCCCCAGCAAGCTGAGCATGACCTCAACGTGGCAGCCACTACGAACAGAACAGATTTGAGCCAGCCTGTTGGAGGAAACCTACTTGCTTGTCTGGTAGAAGAGTGGAAAGCATCCAAGCTGTTCCAGCATGTCCCACCAGGAACCTTCTGAACCCAGTCGCTGGGACACTGCTTTCTGGATGCTGATTACTTGAAAAGGAATCACCTGAATGCATGGTTAAAAAGCACAGTTCTTGGTCTCCTGTTAGACCAACTCCATCGGAATCTCTAGGGGAGAAGTTTTCTGCACATCAGAGAGGGAATCACTACAACCTTTTGCCTTATGCTTAGGGTTCCTGACTTGTGTCAGGCGGGGTCACATCCACTCACTCCACAGCGTCTTAACTTCTAAGTGCCAGGTGCTGACGCAGGGCAGCACGCAAAGCAGGCACCTGAGAGAGAAATCAAGAAAGGAGGCAACAGGGACTAACTCATCACGGAGCAACCAGCAGCAGCCTTATGGGAGCCACTCCAGAATGCGGGGCTGCCGGGCAGGCTCCACCCACTTTAGAACCTGGCCAGAGACGCAGAGTCGGAACTGATGACCCAGGCAGCCAGCGGCGACGGCAGGCTTTAATCTGGCTGGTCAGGCCCATTGTGGAGGATAATCCCATGGGGCTGACTGGGGCATAACGGACATTCAGCTCTCCCCGAAAGTGACAATGAAGAAGAGGCTTTCGATGAACAGGCAGGCAAACGCCACTGCTGGCTGAATGTGTGGCATCAAACAGAGATTAACGGCATAAAGAAGCAGTGTCTACGCGCAGCCTCACACCAGACCCAGAATGCTTGTTTGTGATGAACAAAGGGATCAGAGCAAAAACCCAGAGAGGGGAAACAAAGGTTACCCGCGGCACGGTGGGGACGCTGCTGCGATGACTGCTGCAGCCCGGCCCGCGCTCGGAGCCCTGGTATAAAGCGGGGCTGCACACTGCACTTGGGGGCGATGCAGGCGCGCGGGGATGGAAGCTGACTGGGAGCCCACGGCTGCGGCATTCCAGCGTCCCAGTCTCGGACCCAAATCCAAACTCTCCTGATGGCCCTTCCCTCCCTTAAACACAGAGCGCACAAAGGCAGGCCCTGACATCCTTCCCTGAGAACAGGGACCACGGGAACCTCGGGCTCCCTGGCGCACCCCAGGAACACTGCGGTCAGCAGCAGTGGGAAGCCTCCCACCTCTGAGGCAGAAACCCTCTCGCTGAGAGCTGGTGGGGAGGGGATGCCTCCAGGCAGGCCCAGCGGCCAGGGGAGGCTCTCCCTCCGCCCCCACGTCCCCGCAGGAATCACTGAACAGTGGAGCCCAACGGGGGTGGGAGGAGTCCGGGGATCTCTGAGCCAGCCTGCTGGACAGATTAGAAACTGAAGCGCGTGTGGTTACGGGCTAAGTTCAAGGTCAGAGCTCTTAGCAGACGAGCAGAGTGAGGATCCCGGACCCCCGATGTCATCACTGCACAGCTTGGGGACACTTTGGGGAGGGAACTCTGAGTCTGTCACCTCTTCCCCAGACCCTAAGCTACAGCCTCTACCAGGCACAGAAACTGACCTCAGAGGGTGGGGAGTATGAGGGGACAGAGGCTCAGGGTGACCTAAAGCCCTGGTACAATCCCAGGGCCCAAGGCATGGGCGGCAGGACCACAGCTGACCACCACCTCACGGAAACGGGTAGCTCTGAGTTCCTCCACAGGGCCAGGATTTCCAGAGTCAGGATAAAGGGGGAAAAGGAGGCTTAAACTAAGGAGATATGAAGAAGGAAAGGGTGGGCTTTGCTCAGACTTGCTATTTCTGAACTCCCTGGCCCCAGATGGAAAACTCAAGGCTGGAAGATAGGAGGTGCGATTAGGAGGTGAGATGGGAGGGGGAGGGTGCAGGAGGAGGCTACTCCCCAAGGGAGTAAACATACCCATTCTGGAAGTATCCCAGGACTGTCCCTAGGCCCCCTTGAAAAGAGGCGCTCAGAGCCAGAAGGTAAGAGGAGAAACTCGGCCTGCATCTCCCCACAGAAACAACCTCAGACGCATCTGAAAAACTTCAGCAGCATCAAGGCCAGGAGGTCCATGAGGTACCTGCCCCAAGTGGCAAGACAGTGCTCTCCTAGTGGTCCCGGAAACTCACTCCCTAACCACTACATTCTATGGGGGAGAACAGGAATCCAGTTGCAAATAAAGGAGTCTAAAGTTTTGGAATACAGTTCATTGCAAAATTAGGGCCCAGCCATTCCAAGAGGGGTCTGGAAAATCATCTGCCTCAGAACCTACGGCATGCTCCTATAGCTGTCCTGGCCAAAACCATGCCCGAGCCACATGTGGCTATCTACATTTAATCAAAAGTAAGGAAAATTAACAATTTGCTCCTTCAGTAGCACCAGCCACATTTCAAGTGTTCAGTAGCCTCATATGGCTAGTGGTTACCACACTAGGCAATACAGACAGAGACCATTACCCCATTACCATCACTGCAGAAAGTTCTAGTAAACAATGCTCAGGATGCAACTCAGCGTGGCCAACGCATCTCTCTACACCCTACTGAGCAAAGCAAAATGCCTACCAGCCCTCAGTAACAGTTTTGAATTAAATTCAAATAAGTTCCATAGGGACTATTCTGATGCTGGCTAAAATAAATAAACCAAGATATGAATAACATCACTCAACCAAGACACCTGGGTGGTCACCTAGGCTCTTGAATGGACCTGTGGACTCAAATGGCCTTAATAACACACAAAGGACACAGGTGGGCAAACACATACTCAGGAAGATGAAAGTGCACGAAGGATCCCATACTTGAGACCCAGCCACCGAGTTCCCCTCCTCAGGGGCAGCAACCAACAGTTCAAGTTTCTTTCATGTCTTTTGCTATTTCACGCATTGTGGTAGGCACCCCAACACCAACAGTTAGCTAAGAAATATAAGAACAGGAAGCGTTTATTGTGCTTAAAAATGCCAATAAACTTCAGGCATAAGGCACAATTTCAGTTTCAGCCCATTAAACTCAATGTGCTAATTACAAATCATGTTTTTGTTTCACCCTACGGAATCGCAGAACATCTTCGGAATACCTGAGAAACTGGTAATGGTGGTGGTCTGATAAGGAGAAGCCCCTTGACTGAGGGACGGGAGTCAAAGGAGATTCTGTGAGATAACTTTTTCTACCTTTTGGATTTAGAATCTTACAAATGTATTATTCATTCAAAAGCTTAAAGCACTTTCAAAGAGTAGGCTCTTCTGGTTCATGGCCACACACTGTCAAATAACAACTGCAGGTCATCTATTGGACACCTGCTAATTAGATTCATCAAGCACTCAGCCAAAGCCTGGAAGGATTTCAACGTCCTCATCCAACTTAACAAGCTTTACTAACCACATAATATGTAAGTAGATCTGTTCTGTTATCCTTTCCAGTTTTCCAGTGTAGACAGGCAACGACCTCTCACACCTACAACAAAGCAGGACGCACAGGACAGCTGACCTCTTCGTGGGTCCAGGGTCACATATCAACCACCAGTCCCAGAGCCCTTCATGGCCAGAAAGGAGCCCAAACGGCCCTGGTGAGAAGAGGATCAAAGGCCAAAGGACCACCTCCTCAGTCACCCTTGGAGGAGGACATGACACCCAAAGGGCATCTTTATTTCTACTATGTCCTCTTTTAGTCATGCCACCTGATATCTACCAGATTTAGTGGGGACACATACACAAGTCACTTCTCTTCTCTGTTGCACAACTAGTAATTTCTAGATAGTCACAATATTTCAAACGCAAAAGAGAGATGATAAGCATGTGGTCAGTCTAGAGCAGATGTTAGGACAAGTGTGGTGACTTCCGAGGATGGAGACCTCTTTAAGGATGGGGCTTCATCTCCATTCAGCACTATACAGAACTATGGGCCATATTAGCTGATGACAGCTCACCTCCTTCTTCCTAGAAATAAAATAAGTCCCTCTGGGGGATGCACGGAGAACCCTACAGAGAGGCACACAATTCCAGTCATGACAAGGCTGTCCCTGTCCAGCGAGTACACATCAACACTTAGAAATCTGAGAAAAGGCACGTAAACTTGGAACCAAAATATTCTGGAAAGAGTAATGAGCCACTTTCTATCGTAGCTTCCTTGCCTGTGATAGTACAACAACAACAAACTAAATGCACAAAAAGCAACCAGTAATTTCCTAAAAACATTCTTTTCCAAAACCAAAGTGGAAAGATGAAATGAGCCAGCAAGGGGCAGGTGCCAACATGGGAAAACCCATCTCAAGAGGCTCTTGCCATGTGGCTTAGCAAGGATCACGTTGCCTTGCTCCAACTCTTTCCCTGCCCACTGTAAAATGACCGGGACAGGTCAAGTCCCAGATCAGCTCCAAGCACCAAGTGCGCCGCTTCATGGTGGGAAGCGACAAGCACAGACTGGGGTCAGGAAGTACGAGTGCTGGTCCCACTTCCGCAAACCGGAACGTGTCCCTTTATCCTCTCGAGCCAGTTTTCTCACCTATAAAATGATAATCATTGTATCTGTGACCTCATGCCACCCTCAGGGTATATAACTTTCCTCATTCTGTAATTCCATATAATTTCTCAATAAAAATCATAAATATCAGCACCAGAATATGATTTGCCCTCTGGGTTATTCTTCCAGAGGTGGCATGTCTGTGCCATGAAAACCACGTAAGAACTTAAACAAGCAGGTAGTAGCTGAGGAGTCTTCCTCAACTTCCACCAACTCTGAGAGGCCTTCTGATGCCCAAAAGCTCAGCTTTAGAGAGCAGTCCCTCCCCATCAAGTCAGGACAGATTCAAACAGAAACACCAGCCAGCTGTCTCCACCAAAATCTCCATCATTCTGAACCATGTCCTGCCCACTGACCCTCTCAGACATACCATTTATTTGCCATCAATTTTATCACACTGGCCTGGGGACGCGAGACCCGGCGACCCAACATCTAGTCCAGTTCTACTGAGGTTGAGAGTCACAGTGTTTGTTCCCCTTGCTCAGCAGGAAATCTGCTTGCCTGCAAAGCAGCCTCACCCTCGGAAGCTCAAGAAGCAATCCAACTGTAAGCTCACAAGGGTACCCCCACCTTCGTGCAACAACGGTCTGCACGGCACCTTCTTTTCAGGGCTGTCGTCAACATGTGAGTAGCCTAGCTGTAGACCCCACCTCTGCTGCCATCGAACCAAGTGTCTCTGAGAAAAGCATGTAAGCTCTCTGGGCCTGCCTCTCGTCTATAAACCCAGGGGGCTGCCCTGGGTGGCATACGGTCTTTCTCAAACGCAGCAGTCTGTGGCTATGATTCCCACGGAGACAGAGCCCCATGCCCAGCACTTGAATTTGGCACATGAGGCGGTGTGGCCACTGGCCGAGCCTACCTCAGTAGAGCCCCCGCTCACCGGGCTTGCTAGGAAGGGCACCCGGGGGCCAGGGCCACTTACCTTCCCTGCCTCCACCAGTTCCGCAATGTCATCTAGACATGGACCGCTGGCCATGAAGAAGGCCCAGCGATAATGGACTCCTTGCCAGAAATGCTAAAAAGAAAACAAAACGTGTCAAATTTCAGAAAGGAAGAAATTTAATTAAATGCAAATTTAGGGAAACATTTCCTGGATGACTAAGATAGACAAACTGCTTCCCCATCGCCTGCTGCCGCAATGAGCTGTACCCCCAGGATGGCGACTGACAGACAATGGATGTCCGTGAATGTTTCATAACCGAGTGAGTGAACAGATACACCCATGTGAACTCGGGCTTCTTCCCCAAGTTGTGAGTGTCAGGCAAGCAAGCACAGGAAAGCTCTTTTTTTAAGGGCAGTCTCACTAGTCTCACACACTCGGTTTCTCCCCTAGGAGATGAGGGGCTGAGACCTTTAGACTTTCCCTACCAAGGTGTGAATAAAGCCCCCAGGCATCAGAAAAGAGGTTTTACCCAATTCAGGAATGCTTCAGGGGCAGTAAGGCACCAAAATATGATCTTAGACAAGAAATCCAATCAGAATTATTTTTTTTCTGGCTCAGAGGAATAAGACAGTTTTAAAAGCAAAACAAGGTGCAAAGTTCCTCATGCGTCATGGCTGGACCTTCCCCTATAATTACACCGAGTTCCAAGTCAGTGAATGCTACGATGGGACAAAATGCCCCCCCAGATGAAGATTAGCAAAAATCTCATACCAAGAAGGTTCATGACCACTCTACTGACTTACCCACTTTTGATTATTCTTCATGTCGGAGGTAGGGTAAGCCATTATCAAAACAGCAAGTGAGCTGAGGTTCTCTGTGATACCTCAATGACCCTCCCAACTAAACGTCATCAGATGAGAGCAATCCAGAGGTAGGATGGGACCAGCCAGTGTCCACCTGCCGCCTCCCTCCCCACACCTGCCCGCCACCGTCGGGCGAGCACAGACTTTCTGCACTGCGCTCACTACTGCCTCACATCTCGGCATGACGATCAGCGACCATCTCGGCATGGAGCTGGCGGGGGCAACAGACCTCCCCTGCTGCTCTGCCTCAGGCCTCGATGGTTGTGTCACAGAGGTCAAGTTACCTCTTTTAATTAATTTATTTATTTTACTTTACAATATTGTATTGGTTTTGCCATACATTGACTTGAATCCACCATGGGTGTTCATGTGTTCCCCGTCCTGAAACCCCCTCCCACCTCCCTCCCCATCCCATCCCTCTGGGTCATCCCAGTGCACCATCCCTGAGCACCCTGTCTCATGCATCCAACCTGGACTGGCAATTCATTTCACATATGATAATTTGCATATCAAGTTACCTCTTTCAGCCTGTATCCTGGCCTGTAGGATGGAGGCACCACCACCTAGCTGACGGGGATGTTGGAGGGACTAAAGCGAATGTATGCAAAGTGCCTCACACAGAAAGGATTCAACAAGTATTTATCTAGTGCTGAAAGTAAAGCTTATTGAGGAAAGACTGGGGCAATGCAAACCAGTATTTAAGACTGCAGTGAAAGTGAAAGTCGCTCAGTCGTGTCCAACTCTTTGCGATCCCACGGACTAATTCTCCAGGCCAGTATACTGAAGTGGGTAGTCTTTCCCTTTTCCAGGGGATCTTCCCAACCCAGGGATCAAACCCAGGTCTCCCACATTGCAGGCGGATTCTTTACCAGCTGAGCCACAAGGGAAGCCCAAGAATACTGGAGTGGGTAGCCTATCCCTTCTCCAGGGGATCTTCCCGACCCAGGAATCGAACCAGGGTCTCCTGCATTGCAGGTGGATTCTTTGCCAACTGAGCTATGAGGGAAATGCACAAAGACAAACCCAAGCTGCTGTTGAGGCAGAGTTGCACAACGGATGTGCCCAGAATGGCTAACTGGTTAGGCTAATCGTCCAACCTAGAACAACTGTTAAGAGTTAAAGGGGTCACTGGTAATCATTATCCCAGGACCACAGATGCAAACAGAGCCACGCTCGCCCTAGAGTAGATATGACAAGGCCCTGGAGTAGCAGGGCAGAGCCCGGGCTGACGGAAGTCTCCAGATGGCACTCTCTTGGCTCAGGGCGCTCTCGGTATGCCGTTTAAATACTACCATCTTCTGTGTGTGTCACAGCATGAAAGAGTCAGGAAGCGCTGGTCTAGGAAACTAACTACAACAAACAAACCCATATTTGAAGGCTTAGGCAGCGAGACAACAAGAGGCACTGGTCTGTCCCAAACTTTCAGCAGGTCCAGTTAATTACAATCACAGGAGACCCATTCATGTACTTCTCCATAAGGACTGGCCTTATCAACTACAATTAAAACATTCTGGTAATTGCTCAGGGTTTTAAAGAAGGAACAGTGATGGTCACAACTGCCGGATCTACGGTTCTTCACAGCAGGTCGCTCTGTACAGGGAAACTTTTGGTCTGCAACAGCAGAATTTTTACATTCTGCTCCAAGGGGTCTGTGGTTTCTTTTTTTCCCAGGCCATTACAGGAGAGAGTAAACCAAAGCAGGCAGGCACTGCAATGAGGCTTTAACTGTGCACATTCTCAGGAAGACATCAGAAACTACTTAAAAGGTTTTCACAGGAGATTACCACTATCATCGTTCAAGAAAGGGAAAAGGAAAATGAAGAGAGCTAGGCCTGTTTTACTCTCAGAGGACAACTCTGAAGCTCAACTTGTTAGAGGTCTCCCTGGAACACCAACTGTGAAATCTTATGGAAAACTTCAACTTGTATGTTAAAGCACTTGGGAAGCCTGGGTTTGATGAAAAGGGAAAGAAGAGACAAAGGTCAGCTAGGATTCCTCTCTCCACAGCACACTGCCCTGTGGACACTGCTCCTGGGTGCCGTCTGAACCAAGGGAAAGGAAGGAACCTGGAGCGCACTGCCCAGTCTGTTCACTCCTGTCACCCAGACCCAGTGCCTAAGGACTGAGCAGTGTCCCCTCCATCACAGCCCTTCCCCTCACCTCTAAGGACTCAGTCAGGACAGAGCAATCAGGAGACTTAAAGTCTTAAACCCCACCCCCAAGAGCTTCCAAAGTAATTTCTAGAACCAGGAAGAAGCTGAAGATACTTATTGAGCCAGTCGCCTTGCAAATATAGGGCAGTGTACCTCAACATACAATCTTTTTTACCCTCGAGGAAACTTCTACTGCCTTTCTCCTGAGCCTGAAGTAGTTTGCCAAATTAAAAAAAAAAAAAAGCACATATATTTTTATATCACTTATTCCATTTGAGGTACTGGTATATCTCAGTGTTACTACAGTGAGAACACCCGCTCTATGCTGTCTTAATAAAACTTCCACCTTCTTACACAGAGACTTATGTATTAGGACGGAGAAACAGAGAGAGGGCCATCAGGCACAGACAAGAAAAAAAAAACAGAAGCTGTATCAGACGGAATCCAGAGAGGTAACATAGCTCATCATAAAGGCTAACATTTAATAAGCGCATCTTAGGTACTAGGCGTTGTGGCAAGTTCCTCACATGGAAGATCTCGTTTAATTCCTGCAACACACAGTAAGGGAGACCCCATGAGCCGCATTTCTCAGGGGAAGATGCGGAGGCTTAGTGACACTGAGTCATTTTCACGGGCTACACAGCTACCAAAGGGGAGGCAAGAATTTGTACCCGGTCAGTATGGGGCTCCAGAGTTTCTTTTCTCTCGGAGGAGAAAAGGCTCAGAGGAGACCCAGTCCCAGAAGCCTGAGGGGCCTGCTGGCTCACGCCAACCAAGACGCCACCCCTACCTTCAGCGTCTTAGAGCCCACGGTGACGCCTGTCTGCAGCATGCCGTCCGCGATGCCCAAGCGGTCCACGTTCAGCAGGAAAGGGGTCACCAGGGTCACATACGTGGCTCCCGACCACTTCCTGAGAAAGTTCAGAGCCCACGCTTCGGTAGATCCGCCAACACTGTCGAGGATAAAGTCAAACCTGGAGAGGAAGAACCACATCAAAACGTCCTGGTCAGCCTTTACCCGGGGCTCCAAGCCGCCTTCACGCTCTCCTCCAGTTAGCTCCATGGTTTGCTTCCGCTGACAGCTCAGACGGCAGAAGGGTGGCTGCTCGGACAGGTGAGAAAAGGCACACCTCCTCACTGGGTTTTCTCCAAGGCAAGCCAAATGCGATTACTTTTTTAAAATCACAAAATCATCTTATTTTCTAATACTTTAAAAATGACTTACACAAGTGGTTTTCAACTGAGAGTGATTTTGGTCCCCAGGAGACATAGTAGGCAATGTTTTGAGAGATTTTTAGTTGTGACAATTGGGAGAGGTGGTGGTAAGGGGGTATTAGCATTTGTAGGCTGGGGGTGATGACAAAACATCCTAAAACACACACAAAATAAGTATCCAGCCTCAAAATGTCAATAATTGAGAAACTAAGGTTGCCAAGGCTGAGACACCTTGACTCAAGCTTTATAGAAAACTGCAAAGCAATTCATCCAAAGTAAGTCACAATACTCTTTACTGCATGTGAGTACTTAAGACAGGAGTGCATTAGATTTTGACCCACATGAGTGATTTGCTTTTATTCCCTTCACAATCAGATCTGTGTGTAGAAGCATCCTCTTCACCTTCTGGAATTTTCTTTTGGTTTCACGTACAACATCAGCACAATGCCTACAGAGAAATCAACAGCCTACTCTCAACCTTCAGTTCTGCTCTAACATGCCAAAAACACACAGTCATAATGCAATCTACAGGAACTAACAGATATTCAACTCCTTAAATCTAATCTAAAATTGCTGTAATCACTATATTCTACTTCAAGGGAATAAAACCCAAAGAAGTTTTAAAATACTTTAGAAAACAAAGATGTATTTACAGAATGCATGCTTATACATCAAGCAAGCTAATAGAGAAATTCCTTTTCCATAAACCCTTTTTCCCTTCTAAATTCATCTGCATGAAGTCAAACATCAAAGCTTCTAAAACCAATTTTGGCCAACTTTGTGGCCCTTGAATCTTTCATGGGACTAAACTAAACAAGGGCAAATAAAAATTTAAGCATATGAAGTGAAGAATGACCTTACTAGATTATCCTTCTCATTAGAAAAAAAAAACAGAAAATTCTTTTCATGAGTGTCAGTTTCTACTTTTAAGTTCCTATTTCATTCCCAACTTTTAGATAAACAAATATGATTTATAATTTAAATTATATAAATTAAATATAATTTAGATATAATTATATAAATTAAATATAATTTAGATAAAACTTCAGGGCAGCCTGAAACTGAAAGTCACTCAGTCATGTCTGACAGTCCACGGAATTCTCCAGACCAGAATACCGGAGCGGGTAACCTTTCCCTTCTGCAGGGGAACTTCCCAACCCAGAGATCACACCCAGGTCTCCCACATTACAGGAGGATTCTTTACCAGCTGATTCACAAGGGAAGCCTGAGAATACTGGAGTGGGTAGCCTATCCCTTTTCCAGCGGATCTTCCTGACCCAGGAATCGAACCGGAGTCTCTTGCATTGCTTGCAGGTGGATTCTTTACCGACTGAGCTGAGGGAAGCCATGGCATCACAGAGGGCAGCCTACCATTACGGAATTGGCACTGCCTGGAAAAAGTAGTCCAGAGATCAGGCTGCAGACCCAGCTCTCCCACTAATGATGAAGTGGCATCATCCTGAGCACGAAAACTGCTCCTAAACTCTCTGCCCCTTATCTTCTTGGCTGTAGCAGGACAGAGGGTCTGAAGAACTTCAAAGCCCTCTCCTGTTGTAAAATCCTAGGATTCAAATCTAAAAGGCCATTTGGAAAGAGGAACAAATTTATTCTAGGTGGATTAAGAGACCAACCTCCAGGCAGAAGCTGCAAAGATCAATTTTAACTAAGCAGTCATTCAAAAAATAACAGCCTGCGTTTGTGAGCTAGTGAGGTTCTCTGACTGGAAAAGAGCAAAGGGGAGGAGCAGAGCCCCTGGACAGAGACGCAGAGGAGCAGCGAGGTGCAGAGGCGAGGCCGGCCTGTGTGCGCGCCCGCCTTCACCCGCCAGGCTCCTCTTCTCTGGAGACAGACTTCGGACATGCATAAAACTAAAGGCGGACAGCAGGGAGATGGTCGGCCTTGGCCTGTCTCCTGCGGCTATTCCTAGAGGCAGCAGAAGAGAGGTGACCGGCTGACATTACTACTATGTGGGAGCCTAGGTCTTTTTCTCTTTTTTGAAACCTATGAAAATATACTTCTACTTAAAGTGAGCAACAACAATTAGCTTCTGAAAACTAATTTAAGGGACTTCCCTGATGGTCCAGTGGTTAAGACTCCATGTTCCCAACACAGGGGGCCTGGTTCGATCCCTAGTGGAGAACTAGATCCCACATGCCACAACCAAGACCTGGGGCAGCCATATGAATAAACAATAAAAATTTAAAAAAAACTAATTTAAAAAAGGAAAAAATCTTTGAAACGAAGCAGTGAAATAGCTCCTGAGACACTCCGCTGCAGCTTTGCCTGGGCTGAGTGAAGACCATGTTCTGAAACACCTCCCTGTCTCTGCCTGAGCCACAGTCAGGATGGACGGGGGCCTGAGAGAGTTCCAGACTCCGCTCCCACTTGGCATGTTTGGTCAAATAACAACCTGGCATTCAGGCGCAGTGACAACATCCACAGGCTTCCAATACTGGTATCTACACGGCCTTTGCTTCTCTGAAACCCCCATTAAAAAAGCAAAACACTAATCACATACGTCATGTACTGCTCTATGTTCTACTCGTGGTGACAAATGCCACTGGGGGAAATATATTTCCAATCTGGCCTTCTTACACACCAGCAATAAAAGTTAACTTAAAAATTAGCAATAGGCCAGGTAAGCAAAATATCTTCCTCAGTACAAATCACAGTTCACGATCGTGCTATATTAACATCTGGAGAAAAAACAGAAACCAACCTAAATGACCTCTAGTGACACGAAGTGTTTTCACAGACTCTTCTTTAAGACACCAACATGACTGTAAGGCCACCAAACCATCTCAGGCATGCATTATCAATCATCCTTGTTCCCACCTTCCCAATGTGCACACTGTTTGGATACATACGGCTTTGAAGATTTCAACTGCTCTTCCACATTTCCGGATTTGTAATCGATCACATCATCTGCCCCAAGCTTCCTCACAAGTTCACTGGCATCCTGGGAGCAGACTGCTGTCACATGAGCATCCCATGCTTTCATCACCTGCCCAAAGAGGAAAAAAAAAGGGGAGGGGGCAGAAAAACTGCATTAAAGAAAAACTAGTTGGCACCACATGATATCCATACATCAGCTTAATCTCTAGACAATTCTAAGTGCTTTGTCTTAACAAGAGCTACAGGAAGCCATCTGCCAGAGGCTAGTAAAACTGATTAAATTTTTGTTCACAAAGAAAGATCCAAGAAACAGATCTCATTTTCCCTGGACGAGACAGTGAGTCGCCTTAATTTCGTGAAGTTATAACCAACTCATTTAAAGAAGGGCTCAGAGCCTCACCAGAATCAGAAAACACAAAAGTTGATGGGCTTAAGCTTAGCATTTTCAATGATGACAAAGGTAATGGGGGAAAAAAAACCCACATCCTCAGAAAATAACTATTTCAAATGCATCCAGAACATAAAAACACAGCATCACTTCATTTGCACCTCCAGTTAAGTATAACCTTGAGTCAGACAACTGCATCAAAGCAATCAGGTACTGGGTAATAAGTGAAAGGTACTCTTAAAAATAGGGGAAGAAAATGTGGTCATTTTACTTCCAAAACATGGATCAGGTCCTCCTCTCCTTTGGAGTAAAAAGACCTAAATAAATGGTTTGCGGGATTTAAAATGCAGATACTTTATATTTTAAAATAACTAGACAAATAAAAAGAAGGATTCAGGATTAAGTATCCAGAAAGCCTCATGCTCCAAAATTGCTGTCATTCTTTCCTACAATGGCAAATTCATACAATTAAAAGGGAGCCATTATCAGCAAAAATCTGAGAATAGTTACTTGATGTTCACTGAGAAATTTTCAAATGGACAGTTATAGGTCATAACAAATTAGTTGTTTTCTCATTCCTGTCCTCAGTATCAATTTCCCAAGCTTCCTTGATATAAGTTGTAGAAGTTCATTAGAATAAGTGAGATCTGTGTTCTGATCACGACTGAAACCCCAATCAGTGGTACAAACACAAAGGCTGGAGATCTGTTAACTACAAAAAAATAAAGGACTTAAAAGCTATTCATAATCTTATCTAATTTCTCACTTTTAAAAAGTAATACTAACCAAGGAATATACCCTGGAAATCTGAGGAGGAAATAAAACATTTAAGCCGACATCAAATATGATATTTTAGGTTTATGGGCCACAAACAGAGACAATTGAGTATAATGACACATTGCTTTCAACATCGAGTCCTAAACTCAACTCAAATATGTGAAGAATACAATCCAAGGTGAATATCTAGTATCTGTAGAAAAAAGAAACTGTCAAGAAAAAAGGAAATTGTCTTCTAAGCACCAATATTTAATTTGTGCTTCTCTTAAACAGTATTAAATAGAAAGAATTTGTCACATCTTGAGAAGTTCCATTAATTTTTTTCCCCAAATTTCTAGATTTTCCTCTCCTACTTAGAACTATCTACTATCACAGCTGTTGTTGACGTTTAGTCGCTTCTTCATGCCTGACCCTTTTGCAACCCCATGGACTGTAGCCTACCAGGATCCTCTGTCCATGGGATTCTCCAGGCAAGAACACTGGAGTGGGTTACCATTTTCTCCTCCAGGGAATCTTCCCATCTACTATCACTGCACACTACTGAAAGGTTTTTTTTTTTTTTTACTGAAAGGTTTTAAAGCAGCTTTAGATTTAAAAACAATTTTATGTAAACTGTTAAAAATAATAAGAAGAAATAATACAACACAAGTACAACACAAGGAGACATCTCTAAGGCAGACAGCACTCCGACCGGGACAGCAAGCTGGCAGTCACTCCAAGAGCTCTACACTTGCCCTCTCCCTCCCAAAAGTCACCATCACCCTGATACTTAGAGTAAATCACCTCCTTGCATTAAAAAAAAAAAAAAAAAAAAAGGTTTTATTATCCAAGTATGTATTTCCTAGATACTACAGTTTAGTCCTGTGCATTTTAAAAATGATGTCTTTTTTTTTTTAACTATAGGCTCCTCTTCTATCCCCCCTTCACTTAAAATTTATCTGCAAAAGAATCTAGGCTGTGTGCCCTGCAGTTTTCCCCGGAAACTCTGGAATTTCTGCCTGCGATCCTCGGACAGTTCCACATACTACTCTGTCCTCTGTGTTTCCTGTTTATGTCCTCTTAGCAATATTAAGAACAGCATCTGCAAATTATAGAAGGCTGAGCATATCTGCTTGTCCCTCTTTTTATTAAATCTCAGTGGTTGTCCGCTGGTGGTTGCAAAACGGTGCTATTCTCTCTCTCCCGTTTTCACTTAGTAGCTGGAATACTTTTATAAAGAAACACCTCTCCTCATATACTACTTTGTTTATTCAGGTGTACAATTCATATAGAAAGGGCAAATAATTGTTTCCTTTTCTAGTTTATAAAATAATAAATTGGTTTCCTTTCATCTTCCAAGTGACTTTAAAAAATATCACCATGAACTCATTTAAGTCATGGATTTAAAAATATTTGGAAGCTTTCCTTCTTTTGTAACTATCATGACTATTTCTGAAGCTCAAATTGTCTTCTTTGATAACCTTTAGGAATTTCTTAAAGTTGGCTGCTGAGTCTTTTTGACATGATTCAACTAGTCATTACTAACTTCTCTACTATTTTATATATTCTACACTCATTCTTATACGTTTCATGCCATAAATCTGGAATCTGCCATTACTCCAAGGCCCTGAATTTTTGTGTGCATGTGAGCAGTGATATTTCAAGAGTCAGTTTTGCATACACACATATACAAAATAGCTCTTGAGTTCATTTTGAATCTTTCAATTCAAACTCCGGACTATCAAGTTTTTACTTAACCTCTATTACATCTGTATCTCCTTTCTTCCACTACTAAAATCCTGATGGTCAAAGACAAAGGGGATTATAGAATTAAAATATGCCATAAATACCCAACTGTTCTATTGTATATTATACACATACCAGTCTCTGAATAATAGTACTAAAATCATGCCCAATATGATCAATGAAAGCATTCAAATAATTTTAAATATGCTTTCCCACTATTCCTCCTTTTTAAAAACAGTTGTACTGTTTACTTTGTCAGAGTTACACTGTACTCTCTAAGCTGTCATGAAGTTTTAGTTCTACAGATAACTGTGTATTTAACATTTACCACCAGTCCTTAGGGTTATGTCTCTCTAGCCATTTTAGTTTTCAGAAGCTCATTTTCTAGTATATTTCTCAGAAAGAGATCAGAAGAACATACTCCTCAAGTTCATGCATGTTATTAACAGTTCGTATATGTCCTTTAGTATACAGAGGCCAGTTTTGCTGTATATAAAATTTTAGCATATTCTTTCTCAAGTGTCTTAAATGTTACTTCAACTCCAGTCCCAGCATTAAAGCACTGTTATCAAAAAGTGCTGATAATCTAATTTTACTCATATGTCACATTCTTTTTTTTTTTTTTAAAGATGTCCCAAAGTTTTTTTTTATTTTTCTCCTTTTCTTTAAAGGCCAGTAATTTTGCTAGTTTCCCTTGATACTGCTCATTCTGGGCCCATGTTCTTCAATAAGCACTCTAGCCATTTAATATGTAGTTTCAAATCATTTAACTTCAGGGAAGTAGGGAAGTTTCTTGAATTACTGGTTTTAGCATTTGTTTTATTGCCTCGTTTTGGTTTTCCTCATCAGAGACTCTTATTGATACAGCAATTTCCTTTCCTATCTTCAATACATGACACTTTTCTCTTGAATCTGTCTTTATCTCTTCCTCCCTTTGCAATTTACAAGTTTTCCTCTTTACACACTGTTTCTACTGCTGTGCCGCTGCGGTTTAGTCTAAAGTCATGTCCGACTTTTTGTGACCCGGTGGACTATAGCCTGCCAGGCTCCTCTATCCATGGAATTCTCCAGGCAAGAATACTGGAGTGGTTAGCCAATCGATTTTCCAGGGGATATTCCTGACCCAGGGATCGAACTCAGGTCTCCCACATTGTAGGCAGATTCTTTACTGTCTGAACCACCAGGGAAGCCCTCCTTCTAGTTTAGTCTTTTGTTATTTCTTTTTACTTTATTTCTGAGTTTTTCCAATTCTGATTTATTTTATTCATGTCTTTGTATTTTGTATAATGTTCTTTTTAGCTTGTTTTGAAATTGCAGGTTTCATTTTGATGTTTTCTCATGTGTTTTCCTTGTCTGTAGATACGTTACTCTATTCTTCATCCTTCCTTTTTCTCACAATAACTTTGTATGGGATTTAACCTTGATATTTTTCTATTAATCAATTGTTTAATCTTATTTAAATGTTTTTATTGTGAAACATAACACACAGAGAAGAGTGTGTGGAATATAAATGTACAGCTTAATAAATTATTACAAAGCAAACACTATCTCAGGCATTGCTCAAGATTAAGAACTAGAATATCTCACTTCCCCCTCCCAATCAAAACCTTCTTCATTCCCTGAGAAGTAATAACAACTATCAGGACTTTTACATAAGCCTCCCCTCACCTATTAAAAAAAAAAAGTTTTTCTACCTAGATAAGCATCCTTAGACACTACTGTTTAGTTTTACATGTTCTTGAGTATCATTAAATGGAATATATGTTTTACTCTTGTTTCTGACGTCTTTCTACTTGTTAAATTCATCTACTACATTGTGCACAACTATAGCTTGCTTTTTTAAGATTTTTTTGATGTGGAAGACTTTTAAAGTCTCTATTGAATTTGTTACAATATTGCTTCTGTTTTATGTTTATGGTTTTCGGGACATGAGGCATGTAAGACCTTAGTTCTCTGACCAGGGATCAAACCTGCATCCCCTGCACTGGAAGGTAGACCACTGGACCACGAGCTAAGTCCCCGGTAGTTTGTTTTCATGGCTGTGTAATACTCTAAACATAAGAATATAATGCAGTTCACGTTCCCATTTTGCCTGGAGAAGGAAATGGCAACCCACGTCAGTATTCTTGCCTGGAAAATCCCACGGATGGAGGAACCTGGTGGGCTGTGGTACATGGGGTCGCAAAGAGCTGTACACAACTCAGTGACTTCACTTTCCGCTTCCCATTTTGGGCTTCCCTGCTGGCTCAGCTGGTAAAGAATCCACCTGCAACGTGAAGGACCTGGGCTTGATCCCTGGGTTGGGAAGATCCCTTGGAGAAAGGAAAGGCTGCCCACTCCAATATTCTGGCCTGGAGAATTCCATGGACTCTCCATGGGGTCACAAAGAGTCAGACATGACTGAGTGACTTTCATTCACTCCCCCATTTTACTGTTGATGGCCAGTTAGGGGATAATACCTGGGACATATCTGGGGTATATTCTGGGACATATCTTTTGGTGAACATGCATGTACATTTGACCCTCTGTATCTAAGAACTCCACATCAGTGAATTCAACCAACCAGGGACTGAAAATATTCAGGAAAAAAAAATTTCAAAAAGCAAAACCTGAATCAACAGCACACTATTTACATAGCATTTACATTAGGTAATATAAGTAATCTAAAGATTTAAATTATACAACAGGATGTGTACAGGTTATATACAAATACTATGCCATTTTATCTGGGCTTCCCAGGTGGCGCTAGTGGTAAAGAATGCGCCTGCGAATGCAGCGGACATAAGAGACTCAGGTTCGATCCCTGGGTCAAGAAGATCCCCTGGAGGAGGGCATGGCAACCCACTCCAGTATTCCTGCCTGGAGAATCCCATGGACAGACGAGCCGAGCAGGCTACAGTCCATGGGGTCTCAAAGAGTTGGACACTTCATGCCATTTTATGAAAGGGACTTGAGCACCCATGGATTTTGGCATTCAAGGAGGTCCTGGAACAAATCTGAGGTTGGTATACTGAGGGATAACTGTACTTCCATCTACAAAGTACATTCACACTTTGCTATGCTGTCATAGGGCAATTTATATTCATAATTAGTAGATATCGCCAAAGTATTTTCCCAACTAGTTATACTAATTACACTTTAACCAGCAGGATATGATATTTCTCTTTTTCTCCCATCCTCCCTCCCTCTTTTCCTTTCTTTCATTTGCTTATTAATTCACATTTACTGACAATCTATGGATTAGGCACTGGGGTATCTGCCTTAAGTCTGTTTGAGCTGCTGTAACAACATAGACTGGGTACCTTATAAACAACAAAAATGTTCTTCTCAATAGTTCTGGAGGCTGGAAGTCCAAGATCAGGGTGTCAGCACCCGGGTGTCTTCCGAGCCACCTTCCTGGTCCTCAGCCTGAGCCTTCTCTCTGCGTCCTCACGTGGTAGAAGGGCTCGGGAGCTGTGCTGGCCTCTTTCATGAGGGCTTTAACATCATTCGCGAGTGCTCCACCCTCACGACCTAACCACTTCCCAAAGGCCTCAACACTATCACTATGGGCATCAGGACTTCAAAACATGAATTTCAGAGGAGCACAAACATTCAGACCACAGCAGTATCTAAACGTGAATTAAGATGAATCAAGGTGTGCATTTCCTGGGAGTCCTCTCCATCTCCCATTTCTTCCCCCCAGCCACTAACAACCGCTAATCTGTTTTCTGGCTCTAAGGATTTGCCTCTTCTGGACACAATATAAATGGAATCATACAAAATGTGACCTTTTCTGTCTGGATTCTTTCACTTAGCATTATGTTTTGAACGTTTATTTATACTGTATCATGAATCAGAATTTCATTCTTTTTGATGGCTGAATAACATTCCCTTGTGTATATATACACACCACATTTTGTTTTTCCATTTGTTAGTTGATAGACATTAGGGTTTTTTCCGTTTCTTTGACTATTATGAATACTGATGTTACAAATGAACATTTGTATATAAGCTTTTGCTTGAACACAGATTTTCATTTCTCTCAAGTATACACCTAGGAATGGAACTGCTGGATCACGGGGCAATTCTAAGTTTAATACAGAATTAAGAATTCTGTATTCCACTGTTTTTCACTGTGGCTACACAATTTTACATTCCCACTAGCACTATATAAGGCTTTCAATTTCTTTACATCCTTGTGAACATTGTTATTTTCCACTTTTTTTTAATAGCCATCCTAGTAGGTGTGAAGTGCTACCTGTGTTTCTTTTTTTTTTTTAAACTGAAATATAGTTGATTTACAATGTTGTGTTAATTTCAGGTATTCAGGATTTTGTGGGTTTTTTTTTGCATACTATATTCCACTATAAGTTCTTATAAGATATTAGGTACAATTCCCTGTGCTATACAGTAAATCCCTGTTGCTCATGTATTTTATGTATAGTAGCCTGTATCTATTAACTCCATAGTCTTAATCTGTCCCTCCCTGCCTCTTCCCTTTGGTAACCATGTTTGTTTTCTATGTCTTTGACTCCGTTTTTGTTTTGTATATAGATTCACTTGTATTGTATTTTTTTAGATTTCATATATAAATGATATCATATAGTATTTATCTTCCTCCGACTTATTTCACTAAGCATAATTTCTTTAGGTCCATCCATGTTGCTATGAATAGCAATATTTCGTTATTTTTTATGGCTAGTAATATGCATTTTGTGTGTGTGTGGATGTATATACAAATACATAAACACACACACACATAAATACCACATCTCCTTAAGTCAATCATTCACTGTAGTTTTGATTTGCATTTCCCTAATGACGAATGATATTAAACACTTTTTCATGGGCTTACTGCCCATTTTTAGATTTTGTTTGAAGAAATGTCTACTCAAGTCCTTTGCTAATTTTTTAATTGGGTTGTCTTTTTGTTGTTGAGCTGATAAGGGTTCTTTACATATTCTGTATATTATATCCTTATTAAATAAATAATTTGTAAATATTTGCTCTCATTCTGTGTGTTGTCTTTTTACTTCCTCGATAGTATCCCTTTGATGCACAAAAGTTTTCAATTTACTGAAGTCCAATTTATCTAATTTTTTTCTCCTTTTACTTGTTCTCTTGGTGTCATATCTAAGAATCTATTGCCAAATCCAATGTATGAAGATTTACTCCCATGTTTTCTTATGAGTTTTATGGTTTTAGCTCTTATATTTAGGTCTTTGACCCAGCTTGAATTAGTTTTCACATATGATGTGAGATAGGGGTCCAATTTCATCCTTTTATATGTGGATGTCTAGTTGCCTCAGTACCATTCATTGAAAAGACTATTCTTTTCCCTGTTTAACTGTCTTGTCACCCTAGTCAAAAATCTACTGGTCATAGATATACCGGTTTACTTCTGGATGTTCAATTCTATTTCATTGATCTATATATTTAACTTGATGAAAATACTTTTTTTTTTTTTGCTTTTAATACATATTTTATTGAAGTATAGTTCTTTTCTTTCCTTTTTCTTTTTTTTTTTAACACCAAAAACATTTTTGGGGTAAAGCCAATCCAGTACCATTTTGACTTCTATAGTTTTGTAACTAAGTTTTAAAATCGAGACGTGTGAGTCCTCCAATTTTGTCCTTTTTTGCCAAGATTATTTGGCAACTTGTGGTCCCTTGAAATTCCACATGATTTTAGGTTCCACTTGCCCATTTATGCAAACAAAAAAAAAGGCAGCTGCTCTTCTGATAAGATTGCACTGATTCTGTAGATATGAGTTCTACCATCTTTACACAGCATCTTGGCTATTGCATATCTTATATATATTTTTTAGAACTAGCTTATCAATTTCTACCAAACTGCAAACTTCCATCCATTTTCACTTGCCCATGGCCTTTCTCCCTGAAAGCTTTTTTGTTACACAGGATATCCACAAAACTAATTCATATATTAAACCACTGGAAAGGTTAATGCTTCCTTCTAAGAAAATTTCCTTCTTAGGAGAGCAAGCTGAAATCACAATGAATGTAATTTCTCTCCGCTTTCAAGGAAAAGTAATCCACAATATATAAATTTTTTAATTCACAAAAATAATAATCTTCCTAGTCACAAGATAAATTGTCTTACCTGTATAGCAAAAGTACCAACTCCACCTGAAGCTCCCAGGATTAAAACACTGCAACACAAGAAAAAAAAACTATCATGAAGATATTAAGCCAACATAACTGAATAAACAAACGATGTTTTCAACATGTAACTGGCTCAAAGATAATCCCCAAAGCAAACATTCAACTTCCAAGATTCTATTACACAAGGTTTTTATTTTAGGTTCACCAAGAATCCATAAATGCTTAAAGTTAGACATACTATGAACTCTTTACCAAGAATACAAAAACCAAATATACCAATGATTTGTATACCAATGATTTGTATTTTTACAAGGAGCTCAGATGGTTGTTGGTAACATTTGCTTATAATTTTTCTAGGTTTAAATTACTAGAGCTTTCTCTCTAAGAGCAAGCTTTGGGATCCTTTTCAGTGTGCTACAGAATATTCAGTTGCTCTCTAAGAAAAATCACATTCCTGACCACATTCTTACCAAAGTGGAATAAGCATCTCTTGTTCAGACTCGTCCCATCACGATCACCGGCTTTCATAAAGAGAAACCAATCTTATCTTCAGTTTGGTTTCCTGTTAAAGTAGATGAATCTGTTTTCTCAGTCCAACATGCCTGTGCTCCAGGTTTTCACCGTGTCTGCTTACTGTGTGTAGTCTTCCTGCCTCTCCAGACCAAGGGTGTGCAGCCTGTGGTTTGTGGATGAGTGCCGCTAAGGGCTGTGAGGGTGTGAACCCCCTGACACTGTGAACTGACTCAAATAACATGCAAAATTTGGTGAGATCACGCCTAAGTGCACTGGGGAGAAGAGGGATGCATCAGACTTATCACCAAGTTCCCAAAGAAGGTATGATGCAAAAGAGACTCACTAGTCAAGAATCACTGCTTTACATATTCTTACATTCCATTCTTGAATTAAGCTAGAGCTCCAGTGAACTGCCTTCCTCTGACTGCAGAGATTCAAGTCCTTAGAAAACTATACTGAATTGCACTTTGGTGTTCTGTTACCAGTCTAGGCTGAGAGACATTACAAAAAGTTACTATCTGATATCTGATGCTGCATTAGTTAATACTGTTGAGAGAATTCATGAGAATTGTGGAGTGCCATGTAGAGTGCCCACAGAAAAAAAAACATTTTCTGAAGACTAAGTTGTGGCAGTAGCTATGCTTCTATTATCTGTCACTGCAAATGCTGTAACTGCAGACTGTGGGTCCCTCTGACTCAGCTGCTGGAAAGTGCAGGGAAGTCTGTCACCTACCTCAAGCAGGGACACCCGATCTTGGAACAGACACTCTGTTTACAATCTTAACTCTACTTTCATTTTATTTTTTTCTCTCTTACCCAAATCACAGAAGGCTGACTGTCACCCTTTGGATCTTAGAAGTTACTGGCAATATTTTTCAGTCAGCTATTCCTTTTGAAATTAACACCATCAAATGTAATTAAGACAAGTCTCCTTGGAAATGATACTCCTTTTAGAAGAGTTACGTTCAATTTCACAGAATTATAAAGAATAAAAAAAACTTTAAAGATAAACTCTTCCAAAAATCCTTCAATTCACACATTTAATAGCCTTAATGCTTCCTAAATCGGGGGGGGGGGGGGGGGCGGGGCAGGGGGAACACTAAGACTGCTTCACAGATACATCCAACAATTAGTTCATCCTTGGAATATTTTACCCTCTTATTTTGGAAATATTAAGGTTGGTCAAACTCTCATTTAAGTTCTTCACTATCTTATGTTTTTGCAACTCTGATTTCCTCTCAATTACTTCTACAACAGACTCTCCACCTAAGCATCCCTGGTCCCCTCGCATGCACCCTTAGTCCCATGCATGTTGGCCCACATCTCAAGCTCTCAAATGCCTTCACTGTCTGCTGAGATCTCCCTATCCTCAGAGGCTCAAGTCCCAGTTTGTCTGAACAATACCTGAGAGATAGCCCTGAGCCTGATATGCATGCTGCGCATTTGGCATGCTGTTAACTTTGATTCATATGCTTGCTGCCCAAGCCACTCTGCAAGCCGCAAGGACAGAGACCTTACACACGCCCAGCAGCAGGCCTACCACCCTGTGTGGAGCAGAGGCCTGATCCATGTTTCTTGACTTTAAAATCACTGGAATTCCCTGGTGGTCCAGAGGCTAAGAATCTGCCTGCCAGTGCAGGGGACACAGGTTCAATCCCTGGTCCAGGAAGATTCTACATATCATGGGGCAATTAAGCCTGTGTGCCACAGCTACTGAGCCTGCGCTCCATAATGAGAAGCTTGTGAACCGCAACTAGAGAGAAGCCTCCACTCTCCATAACCAGAGAAAGCCCACGTTCAGCCATGAAAACCCAGCACAGCTAAAAATATAAATTATTTTTTAAAAATCATTTAAATCAGCATTATATCTGACAATTAACAACAACTGCTACTATCCTAAATGTGGGAGTCACCTGGCTATTTGAAAAACTGCATTAAAGTTTCTTCCAATAAAGAAAAGCTTGAAATGAATTTCTAGTTCTCTCCCTAAGAATGCAGGATTAAGAGGATCCCAAATACAATGGCTTCCCTTGAGGTTCAGCTGGTAAAGAATCTGCCTGTAATGCTGGACACCTGAGTTCGATCCCTGGGTTGGGACGATCCCCTGGAGAAGGAAAAGGCTACCCACTCCAGTATTCTGGCCTGGAGAATCCCACAGACTGTAGAGACCACGGGGTCACAAAGAGTCGGGGCACAACTGAGCGACTTTGACACACACACACACAAATACAATGGCTGCTCAGGGATCCAATGGCCAGACACACCTCCAGCCTCATTATTGTTAGGTCATAGCTTCCCCCCATATCTCTTGATCCAAAACAGTCTCACTCCTCCATATAGAAAAGCAAAACTCTTGTTTCTCAGCAGCGCTTGGTGGACGAGGGTGTGGTTCTGCGTTAGCAGCTTCAGTTCCTGATGCTGCCACTTGACGGCGCCCATGAGTGCAGAACAGGCCAGGAACCAGCCCTGTGAGGGCTACAGACCAACGTCTGTGTATGAGGCAGCCCTGGGGACACACCATTCTCTGGGCCTGCAAGCTCCATGTTTTGTGCAGGCTTAACCAGGGCCTGTACTTTTCTTTAGGCAAGGAAAGTCCCCATATTGGACAGCAGGCAAATGTATTTTCAAGCCAACAATAAGTCAGCTAGGTCTGAAGCCCTACGACTGAACAAACTCTTCTTGCACTCCTCAAAGCACTTTCAATAAATAAAAAGGGAAAATCCTGCTGTCCCTTACCCCCAGCAGCCCTTCACTTCAGTGCTATAGAGTGGGAGTACTTTCTACCCAGCTGCAGTAATAGTCACAAGATACATTCAGACTTCACTGAAGTAGAAGCCTATTTGTCATCGTGAAGAAAAGTGTGCTGTATTGCTTGTTGGTTTATAAACAGCAAGTACCCAGGAAATACTCTTTGCAAAAAGCACTATAATTCAAAATTGCCAATAATTTTAATCACATTCCTCTCTTACTAAGTCCCTATGCCCAGCTTCTTTTGAAGTCAGTGGGAACTGAACTGTGGCTGATATAAAAATATGGGGGAAGAAAATATGAATAATTATTAAGCAGCTGCTTAATAATTGATAAGAAAATATGAATTATTATTAAGCAGCTGCTGCTAAGTCGCTTCAGTCATGTTCGACTCTGTGCAACCCCACAGACAGCAGCCTACCAGGCACCTCTGTCCCTGGGATTCTCCAGGCAAGAACACTGGAGTGGGTTGCCACTGCTTTCTCCAATTAAGCAAATAATGCATTTTAAACCCTAGATTCTCATTTTCCTCTGTCACTTCTGCTGATCTTTCTGCTCCCCTAAACATCCGTTAAGACACTAAGGTAATGCTGACTTCTTTTCCATGACCGAGTCACTCTGTATTCAGCATCTGGGCACCTAAGGCCTCCACAGTCACATTTTCAGTATCACAATCTTACGAGACATGGCATCAACACTCTAATCGCCTTACAAATAAAAAATATATGAAACACACTACAAAACAGCAGGCGATCCAGAAGTAGTGAATTGCCTTTCAAATTTCTATATTCTGGCTAAGCCCCAGAAGTCTTCAAACGCCAGGGTGCGGTACCTAGAGACCCAGGGTCAAGTCCCAGTGCTCTCATTAATTGAACCTCTAGGCATCAGATGCATCCGCAATGAAACGATAATCACAGAGGTGTACTCCAGGACTTATTTAAGAATTGGCATTTTCAATCTAATTTAAGCTTATATTTAGTTTCTTCACCTTTCTAACGTATGACCGTCACGATTGCTTTCCCCAGACCACATACTTGTAATGGAAATAAAAATAAAAGTCACATCACAAGAGCTGAGTGCCCTTCATTAAGTCCTAATGGCTCGGAAACAGAGTTGATTTAAATATGGCTAAATCTTCCATCCGTAGAAACAAGTGGTCTTTAAAAGAAATAAGGATGAGGCTGAAAACACATAAACTCTTTAATTTCACCCAGAACTTTTAAATCGGGGGGGTGGGGGGGGGGCGATGGGTGAAAGAGAGCATAACATAATATGCTAAATTTATTCCCTTCAGTGAGAAACAATATGAATAAAGGAAAAAGAGCTACAAAACAAATCAACCAAGCGCAACCAAGACAGTCTGGGTTTGTGTGTCCCCTGCTTCCAAGCCTCCCTAATTCATGCAGACATTCCCCAACTTACACTAGAGTTCATGTGTAAATTAACTGTTTGGAACTTTAAACACATTTTCCCATGAAAACAAAGCTACTTATACATCTTGGCAAGATGCCCAGGGGAGCCCTTTAAAAAAGTTTAGTTAACCCATAATGGACCAAAAACCTCATACACAGGATAACAATGGTGCTGAGACGTGTATTCAGAATTTCAACCTGGGGTACTGGGAACACAGCTCCCCAAACAGGACAGGCGTTGGGAACAAGCCCAAGACATTGATTCCTTCCATCTGGTGCAAAACAGAGGGAGTAAGCAGGAAGGAAGGATCGTTTGGGATGGCGACATGAGAATGGATGAGAGGAGCATGGCCAGAGGAGGATCTGCCCTGGAA